ACATCGGTTAAGCATCCAACATTGGCTCAGGTCATGATCTCACAGTTCGTGAGTTCGAGTCCCGCATCGGGCTCTGTGCTGAAGCTCAGAGCCTGGAGCCTGCTTCGGATTCTGTGTCTCTCTCTGTCCGCCCCTCCACTGGCTTGCACTCTGTCTCTCACATTGTCTCAAAAATAAATAAACATTTAAAAAAATTAAAAAAAAAAAAAAGAATTGGTAGCTCCCAAGATGTTATCCTCAGCTCTTTTTCTCAACCAACACTCTCCTTGGGCTGATAATGTTCTCCCATCTGATATATTTTCTCACTTGGCTTCCAAGTCACATCATCTCTTCTTCCTACCTCACTATCACTCTTTCACCTGAGTGCCAGCCTCCTGAGGCAAATTGGGTAGTCCTCTTCTATGTGATTTTTTTTTTTTTTTTTTTTTTTTTTTGAGGGAGGGACAGAGTGCAAGCAAGGGAGGGGCAGAGAGAGAGGGAGACACAGAATCTGAAGCAGGCTCCAGGCTCCAAGCTGTCTGCCCACAGCTCAATGCGGGCTCACAGTCACGAAACACGAGATCATGACCTTAGCCAAAGTCGGACACTCGACTGACTGAGCCACCCAGGCACCCCTCTATGTGATCTTTTAGAGTGCCCCAGGACTCAATCCTTGGTCATCTACTCCTATCTCCATTAACTCCCCAATCTCACATGGTTTTAAATACTAATTATGTGCCAACTCCCAAATTCCCATCCAGTCATTTCAAATTATAAAATGTCCTTAAAAGAACTTCTGATCTCTCCCCCAAAACCTGCTCTATCCATTTCCTTCTCCATCTCTGACAGAAAATCCCTCCTTTCAGTTGCTCAGGCCAAAAATCTCGGGGACTCATCCTTGCTTGACTCTTCTTTCCCTCACACCCAACCAATTTTTTATGGAATCTTTTATATTCAGCATCACACTTCTTATAATTTTCATTCAAACCACTCATCTCTCATCTACAATACTATGACAGTCTTCCATAACCTTCTACAGGTCTCCCGCTTCTTCCCTTTTGCTGCATTCCACCAGCTCCCATCCCCAGTCCATTCTCAATACAGCAGATAGTATTCTTTTTAAAACATAAATAAGACCATGTCACTCCACTGCTCTCACAGAGTAAAAGTCACTGCCCTTGCAATGACTCACTGTCCTTTTGACCTCATCTTCTCCTACCCTTGGCCTCACTCAGCCCCAGTCACAATGACATCTTGTTTTCTCTGAAACAGACCACATTCTCCAGCCTTAGAACCTTTTAGGTGGCTGTTTCCTCCACCAGCATTATCTTCTCCCAGATACTCATATGGATAACTTCCTTATCTCCTCCTTTGTTGAAAGGTCACTTTCTCAATAAGACCTACCTGGACAACACTATTTAAAATTGTAACTTGCTCCCATCCCCAGCACACGATTCCCTTTACCTTCCTCAATCTTTTTTTTTAATATTTATTTATTTTTGAGACAGTGCAAGCAGGAGGGGGGGGACAGAGGATCTGAAGTAGTCTCTGCACTGACAGGCTGACAGCAGAGAGCCTGATATGGGGCTTGAACTCACAAACCACAAGATCGTGACCTGAACCTACTGAGCCACCCAGGTGCCCCTATTTTTTTTTTCTTTTATTCATAGTATTACACTATAACATGGTAAATAATTTACTTATTTGGTATACCCTAACATAAGAATTAACCATCCCCTTCTTTTTACTCACAGTAGTATTGCTATAGTTTAAGTAATCATTATCTCCCTCAATAGACCAACATTTTTCAAACTGTAGACTGCTTCAGACCAGCTTGTTCTTTTTTGCAAATGAAAAATAAAATAGAAAAAAAATTTAGGGGTGCCTGGGTGGCTCAGTTGGTTAAGCGTCTGACTTCGGCTCAGGTCATGATCTCGCAGTTTGTGAGTTTGGGCCCCACATCAGGATCTGTGCTGACAGCTCAGAGCCTGGAGCCTGCTTCGGATTCTGTGTCTCCCTCTCTCAGCAGGCTCCAGTCTCTGAGCTATCAGCACAAAGCCTGACACAGGGCTAGAACTCATGAACCAAACCGTGAGATCATGACCTGAGCTAAAGTTGGATGCTTAACCAACTGAGCCACCCAGGCACCCCCAAAGTTTGTTTATTTAAGCAATCACTACACCCAACATGGGGCTCAAACTCACAACCCGGAGATCAAGAGTTGCATGCTCTACTGACTGAGCTAGCCAAGTGCTCCTATTTTATCTCCCGTCTTAAGTAATGTTTATCAAACTTTAGACAGCTTCAAATCAGCTTTTCAAATCAGCTTCTCGTTTGTTTTTTAATAGAAAATTATAGAATTGAAAACAAAGTATCAGAGTTCAGGCACATATTGAGGGCCTATTGTTGAAACACATACAGAATGCAACTACTGTTTTTTGGGATTCACTATTACATGTACAAATTATTACAGGTCTCAGTCAAACAGAATTGAAAAACACTGCTACACTAAGGCTATGGATAAATTAATATTACTGTAATGTTAAATTCAGCAGAACAGAGATCTTGGTTTTGTTCAGTACTGTGTTCCTAGAACCTAAAACAGTGTCTGGTATGTAACAGCACATTAAATGTCTGTTGAAAAAGTGAGTAACATAACTTTTCAAACATACAAATCCTACAGTATTCCTCCTCATTGCCATTTACAAAGCCCAATATATTTTTCATGTCTGAGCCTTGGCTCACCCTGTCTTCTGAGCCTAACAAAACTTTCCTCCTTTTCTCAACTCACCAAACCAATCAATGCCTTTTTACTACATTGCACTTTCTTATAAAATCTTATTAGAGACCTAAAGTTCATAAGCACGAAAGAAAACATGATAAATTATAACTGACAGTGTAGTACATTAAATAAATACAGTTCTTTATCATACATTGAACTTTTAGTTCAGTTATAACATACATTAAACATTTCACTAACAATTCAGCATGCCATCTTAAAATTTAAAAGGTCTTTTGTTGGATCACTTAACCCATACTTAACTAAGAATGGGAAGTCTAATTTAACGTCTTCTCTTTTAACTCTATAGGCACTCAAGATCATACTGTTTATTATTCTTTTCATAAACAGAGCAACACACAAAAAAAATCTAAGGACTAAAAAGTGAGTAGTTTGCATACTGCAAATCAACTAGCTTTACAATCAGATACTCTGTTCCTCAAACACAGATAAGCCAATTTGAAAACAAATGCTGTTAAGAAAAGGGACTAACCACTGGTTTTGGCAATGACTTTCAGAGGCTAAATAGAATGTTCACAGATAGACCTTTTTTAAGTTTCCACATATTAAACACTTAGTATGTTCCAAAAACTCAACTTTATATACACATATTTACATAAATGTCTGTGTCATCTTCAGGTCTTTGAAAAAAAAAATCACCATTTGACTGGAACTACTACTACTACTACTTCCTATCTCCTTTGACTATTTTTCACATACACAGAAAATCCTATGTTCTACGTGGAATTACTTACTAACATACCACAGAATGTTCTGTTCTATTTATTTAGTTTTTAAGATTCTATTTTTAAGTAATCTCCACACCCAACATGGAGCTCGAACTCGTAACCCTGACATCAATAGTCCCATGCTCTACTGACTGAGCCAGCCAGGTATCCCTGTTCTTTATCTTTAAAACACGGGCGTGTGTGCACACACACACACACACACACACACACACACACACTTTTATCATTTGATTTATAAAATTCTTTTTCTTACTCAACTATAGGTAAGCAAGTAAAAATATTACCAAATACTCTGACACTAAAAAAAAAAAAAAAAAAAAAAATTCTGCTTTTCAATTCTCATTTCAAATATCTCATACCACCTACTAATTAGCCATCTTTGGTCAACACCTAATTATTCCAGAGTTCAGAGTCTAAGAACTGTATTCTTTAGTAGAACTCCTTTAGTTCACTTTATCCCTACCAGAAGCTGAACAGTGGAAAGTTCCAACTTTTGCAACTCTAGAATGAGGTTATAAATGGGAGGAAGGAGGGGGGGGTACCTGACAGTTGTTTGTTTTTTTTCAATCCACTTAAGCTCCCAGAGAGACAAAACACTTAAGTTCCAACACCAGCTTCATACAAAACACTTAAGTTCCAACACGAGCTTCATGCTTCCCTGTAAGCTTCAACCTTTCCAGCTGTAAAAAAGTTTACAGTATTTCTGAACAGATTGGATCAGTTGCCAAATAACATGAAGTCCTTACAGAGAAGGCAACATGAACATCAAACTAAAAAATCGGCATAAAATAATATGGTATTATAATATCATCGATAAAAAGAGCAGTACTACTTACTAAATTTCAAAGCGAGAAAAACACACTGTTGGTCTCTGACTACAAAAGGTAAACATTATTTTTAAATAGATTTCTTTAAGAGATCCTATTAAGGTCTTCAATGGCTGCTTTTCCTGCTTCTATCCTGTGCCGCCAAAACCTCTGGCCGGTATTTGAGGTGCTGTGACTCAGGGTCCTAAAAGTGTGACTAGTGTAGTCAGAACACGCAGCGCGCGCCCCTACAAGGCGCCTACGAGCTTTAATTAACAGAATTTGAATTCTCCCAATTCTCTAGCGGCTACTACTGAGTCCCTTCCATTCCCAGTTGTCCCGGCACACTGGTTTCCATCTCTTGAGGAAGCAAGGGCTTCAGACTCACCCCCAAAACGCTTCCGATATCAAGGTGGAGGCCCACATTTCCCCGCGCTCCGTAAGCACTCGTCAGAGAAGCGTTTGGTCTAACTAAGAAAAGAAACCTTGCACTGCTCCACCCAACAGGTGGGAAGGAGAAAGGAATGGACAGCTGGGAGCCGAGGCCAGGCCAAGCCTGGCCTCAAACACGGCGGGAGAGGGAGGCCGCAACCCCAGTGCGGCCTGAAACAAGGCAGGCCCCTTCCAGTCCCTCGAATCACCAACCCCACCCCCCAGGCCAATTCCAAGACGCCCGCCCCAGCTGACCTGATGACGGATGCCACTCAAGGCCATGAGCCGCAGTCTGGGCCAACCGAGCCGAGGATGGCACTTCCACCGTCTCCGTCCCACAGCCACCGCGGCAGCCGCCACCAACACCAAAGCCGCCTCGTCGAGAGCGCGGCGCGCATGCGTCGGTGTCCCAAGGGGCGAAGGAGTCACGTGGTTGTGCTGCGCGCAGGCCTCGCCCTCAGCGGGATCCTAGGGCCCCGGCCCCGCCCGGTCTCCGCCTGGTGTACGCCCCGCCGTCACCGAAGACCCGGCAGCTGCTCCTGCTGTTTTCTTCCCTCTGTGGAGACTTTCTAAGCTAGAAGACGGTGTGTAGGTCTTTTAAATTCTTGATCTTAAACACAGATACCGCCCCGCCCCACCCCGGAAAGAAAAATATTGTAGAAAAATGTTGTCTTTTGGGGCAAGTGTAAGGTTTTTCCCAACAATTTACCATTCTCCCTAGACATCAACAGAAATTCGGTCTTAAATCTCCATACTTCAGGATGATACGGATTCTGGGTCCTCTCAGGTCTCCTCACGAGGAAACAGGAAAAAAAAAAAAGGAAACTGGTGGAAACAAGTTAGGGGCTTGAGGAACTGATCATTAAAAGGATGTGTAAGATTATCTTCTGGACAAATATGAAGGCTTCTTGCCTTGACAATTTTAGCAGTCCTCTCGAATTACACTCCCTCACTTTAAAAATGGGGTTTTTTTCTTCCAATCCGGCCTCTATCCTGTTTCTGTTACAAGGTTCCTGAGTTCACACACCACCTACCATGCAATCTCTTGTTCAAGGTTCAGCAGTACCATAATTGCACTGCAAGTTCCTCCTTTGGAATCTGATTCCAGAAATATTTCTTTGCAAGATGGCATTTCCTGTGCACAACCCTGTTAATCGTAAATCCCCTCGATACTAACTTTGCTTCCAAATATGAAAAGCGGGGGCACCTGGCTGTCTCAGTCAGAGGAGCATGGGACTCTGTCTCCGGGTGCTGAATTCAAGCCCCCCATTAGGGGTAGAGACTACTTAAATACAAAAATAAACTTAAAAAAATCAGTCTTCTTATGTCTACCTTTCACTTTCATCAAACTGTGTTGCCACTTTCCCTTTCCATTGGCACTTCTAATATTCAAGCTAACTTTTGGATTCTCAGTGCAGCTACACTTTTTACTGGTTTTAACTAGCAACTTTAGATGTTGACTATGGGAAGGAACAGTTAAGGGAATAATATATTGGAAAGACTGGCAGAATTTGCCCCAGCACTGTCATTCAGTGTTTCTGAGTGCCAAGCCGTCACTCCTTTTCTGGTTCTTCCAATCTTTCCTAAACTTATTACAAATTCTTCATCAATAAATAAGATTAGTTCTGAGATAGCATTCCCCTCCAATAGCCATTTTGTAAAAATCTATCTACTTATTCTTTATTCACTGTAGATTCATTGTTTCTCTTTATCTAGTTTTCTACATCTTACCTTTCCAACCAGTCAGTGCTCTTGCTCTCACTCTCCTGCTTTAAAATCTCCACTGTTTTTTTTTTTCCTGATAAATCTCTTGCCATTATGGCATCTGCTTTTTGGAAGACCCAGACTAACACAAAACCTCACATAAATGTGAAATTTAAATGCAATGTGTTTTCTCCTAATTGATTACATTACCTTCCATATGTCAGTGACTCATGCAGTGGACATTTTTTGTTTTAGCATACAAAACCCTCGCTCTGTTTGGGACATCACCTCTCTCTGAAGCAGAGAGCCTACATTCCACTGTAGGAGCCAAAACTACTAGACACTTACTTTCCTAGTCCCCCTACACACACACACACACACACACACACACACACACTTAGAGATATGCACACATGACTCTTAAGGCCAGGATTCAGTGTGGGAGTGTGTGGTATCAGTGGGTGATGTGGTACCTCTCCTCTATAATACTGGCAGTAGTGTTTTCCCCAGACCAGCTCTGTGATGCAATTTGGACATTCTTACTAGCTACCTAGCCTCATAAAAAACTATAATAACAGATGCTTTTTATGAACTCTCTTCTGTTTGAATTAGGCATCTACAGGGGCTCCTGGGTGGCTCAGTTGATTAAGCATCCAACCCTTGATTTCTGTTCAGGTCATGATCTCATGGTTTGTGAGTTCAAGCCCCACACTGGGCTCCACACTGACTTTGTGGAGCCTGCTTGGGATTCTCAACGCATACAGTACACATATGGCATAAAACTGCAGCCATCTAGAATGACGTGCCCATGGAAGGCAAAACTTTTGGCAGAAAATGAAGGGTGGGGTGGTTATTTATACTAATACTGGACAGCTTAAAGACAGTGATAAGATCAGAGTTCTAAATTCTTAGCTTAAAGTAGGGACCAAAAATCAAGGACTTCCTCTGATAGTAACAAAAGAATTTATTCTTCGCAGCCATGGGCCTAAAAGAGCCAAATACACTCAAAGTCTGAGCGCACAGATTGCCAAATTACAATGTCAGTTGAATTCATAGCCTTGTCAGAACTTTTCTGTGAAGATTAAGGCATTGTTCAGGAAAGAGCAGAACCAAAGAAATGAAATGGGCACATGGTAGAATTCAAATAATTTGAAGTATCTTTAACTCATAACCTCTCAGTGTTTGAGCCTCATTCATCAAACAAAAGCAACCCCTTCTCACTGGTCTGAAGAGATCATTCCTGCCTTATTTGGAAATCTATATAGACTTCACCAAATATACATATATGTGTATATGTCAATATGTAATATTATAAATATATATAATACATATTACATATATATAATCTCATCTAAAATTATTTTCTTCTTCGTCTAGCACTCAATGATATTTCTCATGTATTCTCCATACTTTTGTCAAGGTAAATTTGTAAACTTTCAACTGTCTTGCTTTTTAAGTCTTGCTATACAAGTTTGACATTATAACTGGCCCCCAGAATATGCTGGAATCTGATTCTAAGTTGAGGAAAAATGTAAGTATTGGGAGTAGAGAATGAGAAAAACTGGCCTCTTCATGCAAGGTTACATTTTTCCTCAACTTAGAATCAGATTCCAGCATATTCTGGGGGCCAGTTATAATGTCAAACTTGTATAGCAAGACTTAGATAGCAAGACAGTTGAAAGTTTACAAATTTACCTTGACAAAAGTATGGAGAATACATGAGAAATATCATTGAGTGCTAGACGAAGAAGAAAATAATTTTAGATGAGATTATATATATGTAATATGTATTATATATACTTATAATATTACATATTGACATATACGCATATATGTATATATAAATTCAATGGTTCTAATAGTTTGTTTTGTAAGAGTGTTGGCATGAACTATTCATCAACAAATTTCCACTTACCTGTAACCATGTATCCCTAAGAGTGCCAGGTACACTCCCTTCACCAAGATTTAAGAAATACACAGGAGAGGGGAGAGTCAGCATCTTTGAAAAGTACTGCAGTCTCCAACTTACATGATTCAAGTTAATGATTTTTCAACTTCAAGATGGTGCAAGAGTGATTAAGCACATAGTCAGCCACTCAGTCACGAGGGTAAACATACCCTTAAAACCATTAAAACACTTGGGGCACCTGGGTGGCTCAGTCGGTTAAGTGTATGACTTTGGCTCATGTCATGATCTCACAGTTCACAAGTTCAAGCGCCGCATCCAGCTCCGACAGCTCAGAGCCTAGAGCCTGTTTCAGATTCTGTCTCCCTCTCTCTCTGCCCCTAGCCTACTCATTCTCTCCCTCTCAGTCTCTTTCTCTCTCTCTCTCTCAAAAATAAAACATTAAAACATTTTAAAAAACATTAAAACACTTAAAACCATTCTGTACACATACAACCATTGTTACTCACTTTCAGTACAGTATTCAATAAATTACATGAGATATTCAACAGTTAATTATATTAATAGGCTTTGTGTTACATGATTTTGCCCAACTATAGGCCATTGTGTTGTGAGCACGTTTTTGTTTTAGTAGAAAATATTTTTTTATTATTTTTTTAATATATGAAATTTATTGTCAAATTGGTTTCTATGCAACACCCAGTGCTCATCCCAAAAGATGCCCTCTTCAATGCCCATCACCCACCACTCCCTCCCTCCCATCCCCCATCAACCCTCAGTTTGCACTCAGTTTTTAAGAGTCTCTTATGCTTTGGCTCTCTCCCACTCTAACCTCTTTTTTTTTTTTTTCCTTCCCCTCCCCCATGGGTTTCTGTTAAGTTTCTCAGGATCCACATAAGAGTGAAAACATATGGTATCTGTCTTTCTCTGTATGGCTTATTTCACTTAGCATCACACTCTCCAGTTCCATCCATGTTGCTACAAAGGGCCATATTTCATTCTTACTAGCCATGTAGTACTCCATTGTGTATGTAAACCACAATTTCCTTATCCATTCATCAGGTGATGGACATTTAGGCTTTTTCCACAATTTGGCTATTGTTGAGAGTGCTTGAGCACATTTTTTTTATTAAAAATTTTTTTTTCTAATGTTTATTTTATTTTTGACAGAGAGAGAGAGAGACAGAGCACAAGTGGGGGGAGGGGCAGAGAGAGAGGGAGACCCAGAATTCGAAGCAGGATCCAGGCTCTGAGCTGTCAGCACAGAGCCCGACGCAGGGCCAAACTCAGACTGCGAGATCATGACCTGAGCTGAAGTCGGATGCTCAACCAACTGAGCTACCCAGGCACCCCAGTTCTGAGCACGTTTAAGGTAGACTATGCTAAGCTATGATGTTTGATAGGTGTGTTAGATGCATTTTCAGCTTACATTTTCAACTTCCAATGGGTTTATTGGGACATAACCCCATTGTAAGTCAAGGAAGATTGTGTGGTAGTTTTTCTCTGTGGCTGGGGGTGCTATAGTAGGGTCTTCTGTTGATATAGGTGCAGTGATTTCTATGGTGATACAAAGATTCCTAGATGGAGAGAACTCAATTATTAGAGGCAAAGAAGCATAATAAGGATAATAGGGAGCAGGATCTTGTGGTGATTAAATGGTCTGACCAGCAGGGATACTTAGCAATATCTTTTTTTTTTTTTTAAGTTTATCTATTTTGAGAGAAAGCGAATGTGAGTGGGGGAGGAACAGAGAGAGGGAGAGAGAATCCCCAAGCAGGGTCC